GAGCTGGCGATCTATGGGGGACATAGAATAGTGCTGATTCTGTAGACGATTCTTTCAAGCGCAATACATCTACACTTGTTTTTAGGCTTCGCGAATATATTCCTTAATCACTTCACAAATCAGGATCAGCGACACCTGACATACGATTCCAAAGAAGTCACAAGGAGAAGGAGGAGTGATACTTTAAATCTAAAGAGAAGATCAACCCCAACAACGCTCTGGCAAACTAGCCAGCGGTGTAGAGCACACCTGAAAACTTCGATACGCTTGTAGATCGAATAAAATTAGGTCTCCACAAAGGCAATGGAAACTTAATTAGACAATTTTTATAGCCCTAACAATGAGACCATCGCAGTTCCAGTCTACTCGAATCGATACCCATCTAATCTTTCGTGGCTCGAATCGATACCTATCTAATCTTTCGTGGAATTTCCCGGCGTAGAAGACAGTAAAGAATACTTCAAGGAAATCACACAACATCATTGTGGGCATGTTTGAGATGTAAGAACTCGAGAGATTTATTTGTCTAGAATTACAGGAATTCGAAGCTACCCAAACCCCCTCAAAGAGCCATGGGCTACATGAAAGATTGTCAAGGTCTAAGGAAGCGCTATTCATCCAAATGCAAAAGATCGATCAAATCTCAAAATTGTTTAGTAATCACTGAGCGACACTGTACGCAATACTTGTACACATTAACGACATTGACTAAAAAATAAAATCTTTATTGACATTGGAAGTAGAATAACAACGTGGAGATATGGCCACGACAGTGCTGTAGTCCAGACAGTTCAGATGGTATTTATGCTGGCCTCAAGCCAACAATTCCTGTCAACCCGCATTACATTAGGCATTATCAAAATGGTAAAAGCACCGTCAGAAAAACAGGTCTCGAAGTGAAAAAAAGATAAACCTAGTTCGATGTGAAAAGGGTACTGTTACAAAGCTTGTGAATAAAGATCATCATATTAACAAAAGTGCAGTTATTACTAGATTAGAATTGTTATTAAAAAAATAAGAAAAATTCACAAAATTCTGCGGAGAAACCAAGAAAAAATTATTCTATCTTCAGCATTGGTGCGAATAGAAAAGCAAGATCAACCTTGCTATACGCATTCTTGTCTATATATTCAGTGATTAGTGCTAAAAGTTCATTGTAAAGAGATATCACAGATGGGAAGCTTGGTTTGGTTTGAAGAATCCCTGAAAATAATTTTTTCGTCAGAAGACGTCGAAATTGGGGATCATGAACTACTACTGCAAAAAACTGAACAAATTCTAACAAAAATACTACCAAAACACTCAAGAAAATATGTATAACACAACACGGGTCACGACTTACTTTGCTGTTCCGGCTTCAGCTCCTTTATTGCTTTATGCACATCAACGACTTGCTTCCAGAACATCTGCTGATCAAACAAATCCTTCGCTGAGTACTAGAACATTCCTAATCACATGGTGTTTCAAAATCCTTCAACATTTGTGGCAATTAAGGAACTTCTTCAAATTTCCTGACTTTTTACCCTTTTATCATGGCATCTTGAACATGAACCCCACTTTTTGGAATTTCTACAGGGGTCAAAAGGAGGTAACCTTCGGGATAGATGTTTAAACTATTTAGTATAGGTCATTTATGGCGATTGGGTGTGGGCAGTGCAGACGATACTGAACCGAAACAACAGGGATTGGCAGTCTTTGCGACAGTCACCCTCCGAACAAATTATGACTATCAGAGTCCGCGATCCATCGCACGTGCGATTTGGGCGACAGATCACAGAAATCACAAGTGCCCGATCAAATAGTTCAAGGTTGAGAATCCAAATCCCGCCGCCTGTTTCCGCTTGATGGGTGATGGCTGATGACGCTGTGTATTAATTGTCTTCTATTTATGGTTGCAAAAGTTGAACCGAGGCAATTGGGCTTTTTGCGATCGCGCGCAACTGCGACCTGGGACGGATCGCGGACCCTGACACCAGCATCACTAGTACTACGCATCTTTCTCGCATGATATGCAGAGAAAAAACTGAAGCTTAAGCCTACCTCTTTTCGTAGCACGCCTCCAGAACATTTTGGGCACTCCAGCCCCTCCCGAGACCATCTCAGGAAATGCGTCCTTGTGCTGAATTCACATACTGGATCGTCGCATCTGTAATCAAATTGGTAGACAGTTGTTAAGACAACTGTGTTCTATATAGTTGGAATCACGAAAAGCAGTGGCGGTCAATGTATTGGTTATAAACGGTTTCTCGTGCATCACCTGAATCTTCAAGGCTAAAGATTCAAAAAAAAAACTAAGAAACATGGCACATCAATTTTGAAGCAACATCTAACCGATAAAAAAGATGGGCGAAAGCGTTTTCAACGAATACTTTCGGACCGCTAATTTATATGAAGCTATTCAAATCCTACTTGAAAGGAGCCATAAGATGCTTTGCAACATAATCTCTCAATGCGATGTTGAGTCGGTTGTGGATGTAGGCAGAATAGTGCGCCAATGTTTCCCCCCCAAACATTTTTACCCACATTGCACTTCTCACATGTTTCCAGGGAAAGACGTACCGATGACTCCTGAAAATGATTCATTCAATGCCCACTGTTGGAATATATTGTAGCGCGTATTTGTTGAGCAGGAGTTCAATCAGTTCATACAGTTGATCCTCGGATTTCATAATCGTTAAGGTTTTTATAAAACCGAATATTACTACTGGATTCGAGTTCCTTCAAATTGACGATTATTGACTGCCTTCTTTTCGTACATTGGGAAAAAGATCAGAAGCTCAAATTCAGAAAACAAAATTCCGTTTGAGAAGAAACCCGAGTTAGTAATGGAATCAAAAAGAAAGAAAAGAAAGAAAGAACAGAAAAATAACTAACGAATCTTTATGATGAGATGATGACGTTTATAACGAATCTTTATGAGCAACACCCCAGCATAGTAGTGTCGAAGAATCTATTCATTGGGTGAGATAGAGCAGCGTGGGATAGAGAGATAGCACACGAGTAGCACAGATGTGCCGTTGTCGCGCTCGAAAGTGCGCGACAATGGCGCTAGGGTCTTACAAAGTCAGCATTTGGCGACTAATCTTAGCATTTGGACGAGTTACGTCGCGCACACCCCATGACACGCAACGTGGATTACGGCGTAGCGGCTAATTCAAATACGCGCGGGTTAGTTGAGCCGTGGAGCAGGCAAGTTCGTACAACTCGTCTTGCCCTGTTCCTCCTCTTCAAGGAGAGAGTCTGTTTTGAAGTTCATCCACGGTTGTCTTTTATCAACACCTGTGAACCCGAAAATTCTATCTGGGAGTGTTGCTTCAAGACCACCAAAGAGAAGAAAACACAAAGATTGCCCAGAGCATGCAGTACTTTCCAAATGTCGGTGAAATCACGAAGCACTCACATGGTTTTCAACGGCTCTCCTAATGTTGATGATGTTTTCACAGCCTGGTCCTGGACACACGAACGACAGCGATTCGCAGTGGTCGTATGTGACTAGGCCATTCCATGCCAGTTCGTCTTCAACCGCAGCGGTATCTGATGCACGAGCAGCCGCCGAGCGACGATATGACGACGCGTCCATCCCTAGAGAATAATCACAATATCACTCGAG